AGCTTCACCAGTTAAAACAAGACCTCCCTGTTCCTGTAAGGTCAAAACAGGTGCCTGTCCCACAATTAGTCTCTACCCCATCAGTCTGACTTGGAAGACAATTCCTATCACTTCCAAAAGAAGCTGCTGACACTTTCTTGGTCAGGGCCACCCACTCTCTTCTGTACTGTGTGTTGCTGGTAGCAATAAGTTCTACTAATAACCCCAAAACCCCACAGACTTGCTATGCCACATCTTTCTCCACCATTGTATCTACCCATACGAAGCACTGTCCCCATCTGGGAGCAAAATATAGTCATCCTGTTCTCTCCTAACCATGCTCCATCCAGACACAAAAACCTACACATACATTTGATAATACTGAGGTCATTTCCATGGTAGAAATAACATCTTTAATTTATTTTTTTCATTTCTCACTGAACATTCTGCTTTTGAGCAGGAGGTCTTGCTTTCCTGGTTATAGCAGACTTAATTTATTTGTCTTGACTTATTTTATCTTAAGAGATAAGCAGACATGCCCAGGACTTACCATCTGGGATTATCAGGATCTGGATGTGCAAGCCAAGGTGCCAGGGCCAAACACTAGGTCACAAGAGACTGAATTACTGGAATATTCCATTGGTCCTCTTGCCTGAAAAACCTCTTCACACTCATCTCTCCATCCCCATCTCCTCTGCTTCACTCTAATTCACCTTTCTAAGACCACTGAGTCTTTGCTGTTCATGCAGCACCAAATGCAAAGGTATTTTCTGGTGCAGCCTCCTGCCCTGGGGCTGGGCTGACGCTTCTCACCTCCCTCTCAGGAACTGTGGAGAGAAGCTGCCTGGGAAGCAGACAGAGCCCTGAGAGCCACAAGGCATGAAGTTGGTGGTGCCATTAATGGTGGTTTAGCACCTCTGTAGTTCCAACAGCAGTCATGGCACAGCAAGAGTATCAGGGGGGTCAGATGTGGATGACAAAAATGACCAGCAGTACTGGAAGTCTTTCGTATTAATGAGGAATGAATTTGTTCCTGTTTATTGGTTACCACTGGGGGGAGAACACTGGGATTGGGGAAACCAGTATTCTAAATCTGAGCAGCCAGTGCAGGTTGGATTTAAGTAAATCATCCAGCATTATGTGCTGCTGTGGTTCAATCCTAGTCCTAGAAGGTGTACAGAGCTCCCTGCTGGCAGCAGGACAGGTCGTGGTTCCTCTTCTGCTCTGGAGGTGGAAATCCTGAGAAGTCTTTCCCAGCAGACAAGTTTGCCTTTAGCCCTGCATTGCTGAACAACAATGGCATTGTCATCAGACATGCACAGTTTGGGCATTCTTGGTTGAAGAGTTTTACAGAGGAAAAAATAATGCAGCGAAAAGTATAGAAGCTGGAAATAAACACCCCAAGGCCAGTGCAAGTAGCTTGGAATGAGCCAGACCCCAGTGTGGGCAGTAACTAGTCATGTCAGAGAAGAGCTCTGTTGGCTTTAAGGCCTTCTCACGTGGGGAGTTCATGAGATGATGCCCTCAGCTGGCACAGCAAAGAGGCAAAGCTTGTGCTTCCTTGCACCACATCTCCAAGCTGAAGGCTTGGAAAGCCCTGCTGTCCTTGAAGCCTAATGCCTGAGCTCTACCTGCTACTTGAAACGTAGGCTTTTCCTAGTATGGTATCATCAGAAACACATGAAATAAGTTCAGAAAGGGGCTGGTTTGCTTGGGTAACTGAGATTTTATAGGCTTCTCTCTGTGGCACAGCCTGTGACGAGCAAATTATTGCTGTTGTCCCTCAACTGGCACAGGTTTCCAGTGCAGAGAGTCAGTTACTAATTCCTGTGGTGACATGTAGATAAACTGCCAAAGCCTCCTAACCTTTACAGAGGTGCTTTATACACTGGTTCCAAAACATTTTGCATCACAAGCATCACTCCCCTGTCAGCATTTCCCCTGGGCCACCGTGCAGCATTATCAGATGCTCAGCTGGTGACACTTGGCCCTAGAGCTGGGACATCTCCCACTGGGACCAGTCAAGCCCCAGTGGCCCACACAGCAGCCTGAGACTGGCTCGTTGGGAAGGGGTTATTTGTAATAAGCCTTGCACTGGATTCTTCCTATTGTCTGTCACTAATCCTACTGGCTGTCACAGTGAATCAAAACCAAGTGTTAAAGGCAGGGGAAAGAAATCAGAAGAGCAGAAGGTGGTCCTGTGAAAACAAGAGCAGAACCTCCTGTTTCTGTGCCCTGCCATGCTGAAGGAGTCCTGTTCCAGCTCTCAGCCCCCCACATTGTCTCCACCAAGGATAAAGAAACTGGAAGCCCATCACAGCATAAATTCACATTCAGAGGTTGTGGCTTTATGAGCACCTCATGCACCATTTTAATTCTTCTGAATTTCCACATAATTTGAAAAGGAATTCAATATTTTAAAATGTTTCAGATTACAGGCAGGAAACAATTTTTAGTGAGCAGTTGTTCCCAAGCTATTCCACTGATGAAAAGTATAACAATATTTAGGAAAATTAACATACATAGATACTGTATTTTCTGCTCAAAAGATGCTTATAATTTATTTAATTTTTTTGTATGGGACTATTTTATATTTGAGGAGAGATTCAGATCTTGTGCCTTTCTTGATTGCTTGCATTTCTTAAGAGCAAATGATTTATCATTTAATAATTCTACCCTTTGAAGGAGTGTGTTGCCTTCCCTATATCAGTTCATAATGTGATATTTTACAGATTTTTAATGCCTTGGGCTAGTCTGGGATTTTTTACAGGATCTGATTTTCCAAAGATGTTAACCAGACATCTTCCTCCTTTTAAGACTTTGTTCCTCAGAGTACTCACAATCTCACCTCTCTCAAAGTGCAGTGTGAACTCTTTTTCAAGGATGTGAGTCTTTGCTCTGGTTTTACATAAAAACATGTGATATGTCAGTATGTTGTTATCACTTGGTCAGTTTTGCCTTTTTCAAGAAGGGCATTTGCTGCTTTCTGTGAATGTGCCTCAGTGGTTTTGCATTATTAAAGACCTGCTAGGTGGGATGGCTTTATCACACACTAAGGTCCATTTTGTTACCTCCTGTACACATGCAATACACACATCCAATAAAAACCAGGCTGTACCTGAAGAACTTGGAATCTAAGCATCCTTGGTCACATTTCCAATGGAATTTCTCTGGTGAAGCAGTTCACTCCCCACAGGTTTCTTTCTGGAGCTTCAGGTTCAGAAAGAGCTCCCAGTTTGGCCAAATCTTTTCATCTTTCCTGTCTTCCTGGTTCTTGTAATCTCTTTACTGACCACCTACTTTCTTCAGTTCCTTTCTCTACCAGGCAAGAGAAGTTCCCTCCCAAGTCTTTGACTGACTGACAGAAATAAGAGGATTCAGTTTCACTGTTCTTGCCACCATGTCAGGTCCAGATGACAGCGAGATATTTCCATGGGACAGAACCACCTGCAACTGCCTTTGCCAAGTTTTATTTACTCTGACAGCCTTGGGTGGCAGAGCTTTTTCTTCTCTTCTGGTGTGATGCTCTATCCCATAAGCTGGAGTGACCTGGCCTGCTCAGCTACACCATTTCTGAAAGTGGTTAACTTCTTTGTAGCACCTGGGTGACATCTATACAGCACTTACAGACCCAAAGTTGTGCCTACAGGTGTGTAGAAGTTAACAGACAGCCAAAGCTCTTCATTTTACCTTAATTCTCTATTGACTGCTTCCTTGGTTCCTAATATCTTCAATCAGATAGGAAAGGGGGGAAGGAGGGAGGGAGAAAGAAGGAATCTGCTTCCTGAATGAAGCCAAATAAGCCAATTCTTGTTAAGAATTAAGCCTGTCAGGCCAGTGGTGCTACAAACCCCTGTGCAAAGGACAGCTGAGGGATAGGGTGCTGGCCCCCAGGCTGGAAGGGGGCACATTAATATGATTATATCCTGACATCTTCCCCAAACCCAGCAAGGGCTCCTGCGTTGTCTCCTCGAGATCGTAGCCATGAAGTGAAGTCAGCTGTGGGCAACATATTCAGCTCACTCCCATCCACACACTGCCAGCCTTGTTACCAGGGCCTCACAAAGCATCTCTTGAGAGAGGAATACAAGATGCTCTTTGTAAATAAAAGTCCATAAGTCTGAGAAATGAAGTCATTTTCCAGACTTTGCAGTGAACGATGCCCTTTCTCGCCAGCCGCCGAGGGGCTGAGGGGTGGGCTGGAGGGGAGGGAGCTGAATGAAGCATGTCAGGGACACCACGTAGCCCTGGCACAACCAGGCTGCCTCCCTCCTCCTCCTCCTCCTCCTCCTCCTGCCTGCAGCCTCCCCTCCCCCGTGCCACAATGAAAGGTTGGTCTAGCATTTGTTTTTTTTAATACATTTGGCACCTTCCTGAGTTAACTGGAGATGTTAAATTAAACCCCCCAGCAGCCACGAGGCTCCAAGGCTGCGTGTGGAGCAGCTGGATGGAGCTGTGGGGGGTGCTGTGAGGGGAGGAGAGGGTGACCTCACTTTCTGAACAGCAAAGTTGGGAGTGGGAGGGTCTGGGCGCGCAAGGTAGGAGAGGGAACGACGTGAAGATGTGAAGGAAGCCAGAGCCCCGAGCAGAGCGTCAGCCTGTATCCTGAGAGGGGAGATAAGGTGGCTGTGGAGCCAGCCCTGCTTTCCTGGAATACAATCCCTGCTCCACACTCTGCTGAGCACTGCCCATCCGTCTGCGGGCCAGCGGGAGCCTCTGGGGAGCCAGAGGAGCCACCGAGCGAACGAGCGAGGCAGCAAAAAGAGCTTTTCTTCCCTTCTTTGCCTTTTTTTTTTTGCCTTTTTATTTTTTTTTTTCCTCCTCCTTTCTGTTTTTTTTTTCCCCCTGTCTCCCCCCTGAGCAGCAAGCTCTGCTGACACTGCCTGGACGTGCCACATCTGGAACGCGAGCGCTGGAAGAGAAGCCGAAACACCGGAGGCACCGCCAAGCCAAGGGGGGTGGTTGCAGAGCAAGGGAAGCAACCTCTGGAAGACCACTGCTGCTGGATGTAAGGGGAGGACATGGCTTTGATCCCCCCCTGGCCCTTGCTTGCTCCTTTCTTGCTCTCCCTGAGGAGCTTCTCCCCCAGCGCAGCCTCCACCGAGGGCAGCGTCTTCCAGTTGGACGTCGAGGGCAGCGCCGCGGCCGAAGCCCAGGAAGCCACGGTGACCAGAGGGCAGCAGGCAGGAGCTGCTGGAGGTTGGGTGCCCTTTGCAGAGGTACAGCAAACCCTTTCTGTCTCTGGTGTCTGTGCTTTCCTGCTGTCAAAGCTCCCTGTTCGCTTCCTTAAAGCAATATCGGCGGGTCTTGGCAGGGGGGGGGAGGGTCTGGAGCTGTTTGCATGTGGGGGCTGGAGAGGAGGCAGTTCTGTTCACTTTCAGCTCCTGAGAATGCCCTGCTGCCCTGCAGACAGCTGCTGTGCTCAGAGCCAGCCTGGCGTGGCACGTCCCTGGCTCCCCTACCAACAGAGCCCAACAGGCCTGTCCAAACAGAGCTGTTTCACAAGGGTTAATTGTCCCAACACCCTTCTGCTCGCCTTGCTGTAGCTCCTGCAGCTGAAACTCAAACTTCCAGAAAGCCTGTCTTTCTGGTGGCCAACACAGCACTGTAGAAGTTTGTGCTTTTGTGTCTGACAGCCAGAATTTGAAGTTCCTTTTCATGAAGAGACTGGGGGTAAGAAAACAAATGCGTGTGGGAAACTGCCCGCAGAGAAAACACCTGCAGGGGTTTCAAGACTTCCAAAAAGTATGACATTGGGATCAGTGACAGATTAAAGAGCACGGAGAAGCACGGTGGAAAATTTTCCCACAAGCCCTGTGTTTTGGGATGGGTTGATGCTCCTCGTTCTAGCAAGGCTGGGTCAGGAATGGGCTGCTCAGAAATACAGCTGGAGAACACCAGAAATTACTCCAGCAGAGGCTGGGAGTGGGGGAGAGTCATGTCTCATGCATGGGAGACAAAAAGTAGGAGGCAAATTGAGTTGCATAAGGTCATGGGAAGGGAAAGGGTCGCTCTTCTAGCATAACATCCCAAAATGAGGTGAGCTCAGCACAGCCGTGTCCCCGTGACAATATCGAGCTCGTAGTCTCTGATCTCACAGGGCTCATTTTCCCCCTACGCTCCAATTGCCAGAACTAACAGCTATGGAAATCAGTGCATGAGCCCTGCAGACAGCAGGGGTGTCCACAGGGTGGGCACAGCTTGTCCCAGTGGCTGCAAGCAGCTGGGCAGCCCTGGGAAATGCCTGCCCACCCTGCCAGGGGCTCGGCGTGAAACACGACCTGGGTGAGAAACCTGGAGGCTGAACCCTGCTCTGCTCAGCACAGGGGTCCTGGGGGTCACCCCAGCCTTGGACAGGCTCCATGGTGTGGGATGTGCAGCTCTTCTCGCCTGGCTTGGGATCAGCCCCAGGAAGCTGCCTTGCCACCTGTTGCTTACAGCATGGAAAATCCCTCAATGAAATGCCCGGGTTAGAGCCAGATGGGGTTTATAGCTGGCTCTCCCAGGATGGTGGGCAGAAGGGATCATTAACCTTTCTCTGTCAGGCTGGTTAGTGTGGTTTTCCTGAAGACACACTGCACGTTGTTTCACTCTGATGGATTTGACTTTACCTTGGGAAAGTGCTGTGATGTATATTGGACATGGCACAGGAACGACACCTTCGGTCTCCTTCACTCCTGTCAGTGCCCCCTGAGTTTGGGTTGTACAGTCTGATCTGATAGACTCTCTAGTTCCATTCTCTAGTCACCATTCTCTGGTGTTTGTTCCAGAAGTTTAACTGCAGCTCCTGGAATGGCAAGGTCTCCACTCTAGATCTCGTCTTACCAATGAATGATGATGCCTGCTGGGATGTCAGGATCCTTTGCTACAGATTGCATCTCAGGGCCCACCCCCATGGCAAATTCCAAAGAGTCCTACTAGGATGCTCTTTCTGGCTGGAGCTGATGGCTCTGCAACCATGAGAACCTGCTTATCCATTGATCCACACGTGAAGTTGGCACCAGGAGCTGGGGAACTGGCTCTGAGCCCAGAGGCTGATGTAGGGGCCAAAGAGTGATGGTCTAGCAGTCTGTCACCAGAGGATGGAACATTTCCTTTGGTCCTCAGAGAGCTGTTCCTTCCCACAGCCCCAGGAACAGGGCTCATCCCAGCAGGTTTGAATTAGCCTCTTTGGGATCTTGAGTTCTCAACCAGCGGCTCCCAAGGCTCCACAGAGCTCAGCTCCTCCATCTCCTGCTCACTCAGGCCACCAGCTCTCCTGGGCAGACAGAGGCTGGAAGCCACGGGGGAGAGTGACAAACCATCCAAGGGGGACAGATTGGTGAGGCAGAGTCACAGAGAAGCTGATGGGGCTTCCTGGTGGCCTGTGGTGGCAGTCAGCCCCTGTGGGGCCAGTGCAACACGTGAAGGTGGAGCAGGGGCCAGGGCAGAGAGAGGTCATAGAATCCCAGAATCCAGGCATGGCAGGTTGGAAGGGACCTCAGGGATCATCTGGCCCAGCCTCTCTAGGCACTGCTCTAGTTGACATGAGGTGGCTCAGCTCCTTGTCCAGCTGAGACTCCAAACTGTCCCATGTGGGGGACTCTACCACTTCCCTGGGAGACTGTTCCAGTGTCTGACTGTCCTCATGGGGAAACATTTACCTCTTGTGTCCAACTGGAATCTCCCCAGGAGCAACTGGAGAACATGTGGGGCAGGTGCTGGGCAGCATTCTGATTCTGCTCTACACATCTTCAGAGGTCTGCAAGGTGTGAAACAGACAGGTGGGAGTGCTCAGACTGGAACTGGTGGGATGCTCTTACACCTTGGTATGAGTTTGGTATTATGAACCTACAGAAGGAGAGGTGATCCCAAGGGATGTAAATAAGTATTAGGGACTATTTCTGCTTTCCACTCCTCTTCCTTTCCCACGTTTGGCACCCCTAAACCCAAAGGAATTGGGAGAAGTGGTTTTAAAATTCATAATTAACATTTATGCAGAGCTTTCATGTGCCTTAGATTTAAGTGAAAGCCTCTTGATGGCAGAGAAAAGAGAAGCAACTACATTCTCAATGCTATGGTAGTTGTGCTGTACCCACTCTCAGGGCAGACTGTGGGTTTGAGTTGGACCTCAGCAATATCTAGTAGCTTGGTGCCCTGTTAATCAAACTGTGATCCAGGACACCTAAATTAGGCACATAAACCTTGTCTAGACTTTTCCATCCAAATCAGACACTGTCTCCAAGTAAATACCCCAATTCCCCAAACAGCCACGGAGACTCCAGGTTTTTTAAACCTCTGATTCCCAGCTGTCTTCCCTGGAGGCCCTAAAATGAGCCTCTTCCTCTGTAAGGACTATGTTGGATACTCATTTCAGGACAGCTTTATTAACCAGCTAAAGCCTGGGACACAAACTGTAGATGTTAAAATTAACTGGACTCGATTCCACTCAATGAAATGTCCCATTACCTGCATAAGGAGCACTGGTGGTGATCATCATGGAACAACATCTCTAGGTCTCTGTCTCTGTTTCAAGTTTAATGCTTAAAAATTGATTTAAACTCTTCAGAAAAAAAAATCATCAGGAGGTTTACAGTGTTAGGAAAATAACTTGGCCTTATTGTGTATGCACATACATGGACCACAAAAATGTTAAGAACAGACTCACTAGGCTGGGAAATGATGGTCTGATCACATGGCAGGAATGGAAACTGAGGGTGACCCAGGTCAGGCTACAAGTCAGTTACAAACTTTAATTTTAAAGGTAATTAAGCACTGGGAGAATTTCTCTGGTTGTGTTGGGTTGTCTACCAAGAGACAGAACGATATGAAAAGCACTTGCACAAGTACTCTGGTACTTGTGAGCTGTTTCAGATGTTTAAGCTCCTTGGCTGACAAAGACATCAGGGGGACAGGAGGGAGATGTTGCTGTGCTGAACGCTGCTGTGTGAGGAGGCAGCAAGAGACTGAAAGACACTGAACACAAAGCACTGGCTCCAGCTCACCTGTGGAACTCCACAGCATTACATCAGAGACAGATTTTTCCAAATAAGGACAGATTAAAATATTTTACAAGGAAGATTCATCAGAGATAGAAGCAAAGGACTTAAAACTGACAGCCAGACACCACGTGTAAGCAAACAACCACGTGGCAAACATCAGAAATCTTTGGTTTGGGGTTCCAGGTGATAGCCTGGACTCAGCAGAAGGGAAGGGGGTGGTGAGACACTTCCAGCTTTGGCTTTCCAGCCAAAACTGAAAACCAGAAGTAACTTCTGAGAACAGTTGTATCCCACTGTCAAGCACGTGCCCTTCAATCAAGAGGCAGGTCATACGTGACCATGTGGGTCCCACTGTCCACATCTGTGTTTGTAAACTCCATGGATGTGAGAGTTTTAGTTCCATAGATGTAGATTTTGCTCCCCAGTAGAAAGTAAGTTCCTTGCAAACAGCAGAAGAGTACAGAGCCTGAGGTGAGAACCAACAGTGGTACCAGACTTCAAACACTAGAGAATATGGCAAAGGATCCCCTGTGATTCCTGTTGTCCAGTCACTCACTTGAATGCTGAGCAGATGTGACATCCAGAAGAAGATTCATTGCATTCTGATGTAGATGACAACTTGAGATCCAGAAAGTAGCAGAGAGAGCCCAGGACAGGAGATGAGTGTAGGAGGGATTAGTGGAAGAAAGGGCAGGCAGATACTCTGTGGAGACACTTGCCAAGAAAAGATGGTTTCAAATGTCCTCTGTGGAAAGCAGTGAAGCAAAGAGTGGGAACGGAAGCAAGCTGGAGCAGAGAGAAGGCAGCAGAGGAAAAAAAGAGAGCTAGAATGAGATAATCAAGAGCCTTAAGGATATAGAAAAAAAATGAAGCAGTTGGGACAGGGCAGAAAGCCAGTTCCCAGAGTGGAGGGAGGCATGATAATGTTGGATGGGTGGAAGACAAAAACTGTTTTCAGCATCAGTGTTTTTGGCTCAGGGTAAAGGCAGAGAGGCAAGAGGTCTTTTATGGGGAACAATTATCATAGTCAAGGCAAAATTAGCCATTTACTAGAAGAGACAATAAGAAGCATAAATTTTCTGTTGGAGGTTGCATGTTAAACACTACGTGTCTGACAACCACTTCTTCCCACCTCTCCTACCAGCAGCTGCTGATCTAAGTTTTCAAAAGCAAGAAACAGTTTTTTGAGGGGCTTTCTTTCTGGTTTCCTAAAGTGATAAGAAATAATTAGCACAGGA